TTCCCCTTCTATTTTCCTGTATGGCAGGATAGATTTCTATACCCCATTGCCTGTATATCTTTTTTCTCAGTTGCGTGCAAAAACAATTTTTAACATTTGTTTTTAAAACTTTGGGTTCCAAATTTTTTCCCTTCCTCCCTCCCCACCTACCCTCATTGAGAAGGCAAGCAACTTGATACAGATTATACATGTGTAGTCATGCAAAACACTTCCATAGTAGTCATGTTGTGAAAAACTATGTTTCCTTTCATCCTATTCCGCCCCCCATTTATTCTGTTCTCTCTTTTGACCCTGTACCTCCTCAGAAGTATTTGCTTCTGATTATCCCCTCCCCCAATCTGCCCTCCCCTCTATCATCCCCCTGCTGTCTTGTCCCCTTGCCCCCCTATTTTCCTGTAGGGTAAGATAGCTTGCCATACCCAATTGAGTGTGTATTTTATTCCTTCCTTAAGTCAGTTCTGATGAGAATAAGATTCACTCATTGCTTCTCATCTTCTGCCACTTCCCCTCCGCTGTAAAAGCCTTTTCTTGTCTGTTTTATGTGAGATAATTTACCCCATTCTACCTCTCCCTTTCTCCTTCTCCCGGTATAATCCTTTCTCACCCCTTAATTTTATTCTCCAGATACCACCCTTTCATTTCAACTCACCCTGTGCCTATCTATCTACTTATCTATCTGTGTGTGTGTGTGTGTGTGTGTGTGTGTGTGTGTGTACACACACACGCGCACAATTTTTTTCCCTCCAACTGCCCTAATATTGACAAAGGTTTCAGAGGGATCATTTACTTTGGGATAGAGTAGAAGTCTGTATCAGGTAACTGTCTGGGTTAAGCATCATAGTAATGAGGCCAAGATTCTCCACTGTGGTTCACTCAGCTGGAACACAGTTCCCTCCCACACGCCATAGTATTAAGCCAGTTAACTGCCTCACAGATATGTAAATGATACAATGCAGCCCACTCCCATTGAGTCGAAATACAATTGAGAACCCTTGCTGGTGGGTCAACAGTATCATCTTATATCAAAAGCACCCTTTGGTAGTGGGGCCTGTAAGTCCTGACAGTAATGCTTAATTAAATCTTTCCATTTTGATAAGACTTCTTGGTGTCACACTGTCATGACAGCGTTGTGGTAGGCTGAGCTCAGGGAGTTGTGCATGCATGGTACACATAATTTAGGGAGTTGAACACAATGAGGGCATCCTATGGTAGGTAGACTACTGAGAGGAAGGAGTTTGGAGGTCTTAAGTATCCATCTGGACTCTGCCACTAACTTGTTATGTTTCTGGAGTAGCAAAGTAGGCAAGGTACTTCACCTCTAATCCTTCATTTCCTAACCTGTAAATTGAAGGGGATTGGATTGGGTTTCAGATTCTATTTTTGCTCTGCCATTTTCTGAGTCTAATAAAATTGTACCTGTCCTCACTGTGAGATCAAGTGGTATAACTGTCTTTTCCTTGTTTGTCATTTTTTTTTCCTTCTTGAAAAATAGGATGGTGATGTTGTGGCCCCAACACTAACACCTATGAAAGCAAGTTGGAATTCTCAGCATGGAGGCCAAACTCCAGATCACAATAGAGAGGGTTCCAAGGCCAGAGCCAAGCTTTTTCAGAAATGACTAATAGAATGAGAATGTCCACTCACTGTGTCCACATACCTGCTTCCTATAGGAGGATCTGCCCAAGTCACAATGCTGCAAGAAGGCTTAAACACACCTACCATTTCTTTCTTGGCTTCTACAAACAAAGCTGTTCTGCATCTCTCTCAATCAGAAATTGATCACAATGTCACAAGCTTTTTCTCTCTAATTAACTTGGGGAGCTGAGAGCTACAAATAAGGGGAATTTTATTATAAACAACATTTGTAACAAATCCAATGGCGATTTTAGATTTTTAGTTGCAATAGAGCAATTTTTATATGAGGGAACAGGAGGATCTTATATCAGGTAGGTATATAATCTGCAGACTGCAGGAAAAACATAAACTTTTTCATTATTAATTCAAAATTGGCTTGATATCTACAACTCTTAATTCTTTATGTTAAAAAAAGAAACACGCCACTTTTATATATTCAGTTCCTGTGGGAGGAAAACTGTCTTAAAAATTTATGGGAAACAGGCTTGACAGACTTAGTGTGTTGCCTCCTGGTTGTGGGAAGCTGCCCACCCCCACCCCATCCCTGGTTAAAACAGCAGAATCCTTTAGAGGCATGGGGCCCAGCCTGGCCCCTCCGAGGTGAGGGCGTGCCTTGATGAAAGGTACCAGACTTTACCTTGCTTGTCTCCTGTAGACCTGAGGGAAGGCATATTTGGAGTTGGCACTTAGGAGAAACGTTGTTTGTAAGGGAAAAGCACAAGGGTTCAAGGCACATTATTCCAGATCAAACTGATCTCAGTGCACAGAATGAAGTGGCCTTTGTAGATCCTTGTCCCCACAGTCCCTGTGCAGACCCTACAAGGGCTCTAACACAGGGCAACATTGCCGCTTGATAGGACCTCCGACCTCACCTAAATGACTCCCGGCAGATTTCGATCACTCTTGTTTCTGAATAAACAAGACTGTAAGAAGGCTTTGCTTTAAAACATCACTTTTTCAAGGCACTGCTGTGGCTGGGGAGTAAGTTTCTGCTGCCTCAACAAAATAAAATAGACTGCGTCAACATGTTGTTCAGGCAAAAAGACCAGACTTTATTGCCATCCTTGTGACTTCCTTAGTGGCTTTCGGGCGCAGGCTGGTGTTGAATCTCCCTTTTCCCAGGGTGCCCAGAGTGGGAATGGATAATTAAAGAAACCTGGGCCCCTGCTCATCCTTCATCATGCATATGTGCATGCCAGTGTTGCCTGCTTAGTCCAAGGTCTGATCTTGTCTAGGCCTGGCTGGCAGGGGAAAAGGGGAGTGCAGGCCACATCCCCAAAGCAGTTGTTCCCAGAGACTTCCAGACTGTTTTTTGGGAAGTAAAATCTTCCACGCCCTTCAAGACCAGAACTTCCTTCATGAAACCTTCCATGATCCCCCATCTGAAACAATCTTTGCCTCTTTTGATTCGTTATGGCACTTTAAATACCTATCTTGTTACCTCATCATGCTCTCTGTTGTTCTGTAGGTGCTAGATTATAAAGTCTTTGCGAGGAGAGACCATGTCTTCTTATCTTTATACCTCCCCCAGTACTTAACGTGGGGCATTACACACAGTAACCACTTCAGAATGTTTGTTAAATTGAATGAGATCACAGTGCTGTGTCATCCACTGGCTTTGATCTTCAAGTGAATTGTCTCCAGGGGCCTGGATGGGCAGCCAGATTTCCCAGTCTAGTGAGTGTTCAGGCTCCCAGTTCTAGGATCAAACTGGGAGGGCATTAGAGATAGTCACCAAGTGAATATAGGATTATATCTCAAAAGCAAGTGGACATGGGGCAGCTAGGTATCATAGTGGATAGAACACCAGCCTGGGCATCAGGAGGACCTGAGTTCAAATGTGGTCTCAGGCTAGTTGTGTGGTGACCTTGGGCAAGTCACTTAACCCTGATTGCTTCAAAAAAAAAAAAAGGCAAGTGAATATGACGTGAGGATTATCAACACATTATCTTCACTCAGAATAGATGACATTAGGTTGATTTGGTCAACTGAATAAGAAAGTGCAGCCCCGACACCCTTTCTTTGGACAAATCACTTCATATATTGACAAGAGGATATGGGAATGGCGGGGAGAGTTGACAAAAAAAAAGAATTGAGGTTCTCAGAATTACTGTGCTATGTAAGTGCTTTTTATTAAGATTATGTATCCAGAATCAAGGGCAGGAATGTAACAGCAAAGATTGTCTTATTTCTACAAAACACTATTGTTGAATCATACTTGACTCTGGAAGTTTATATCCTACTACTGTATCATTGATACGCACACATTGGGGAGGTAGGGGTGGAAAATCAAGATCTTCTGTTTGCATTTTTGTCCTGTTAAGGCAGATGCACTTTATTTTGTAATGTTTGCGTCCCTGCTTCGGCTATCCGGTTCAAATTTTATTTAGGAAATGCCTTTGATGTTTATGTACAAGCAGACTTTGGTGTCTCCGCTGCTGGAGTTACAGAGTATTTTCTTTATAAGAACATTGTGTTTTAAAAAACCAATTACTGTGACAGGTGTGGAAAAATAACTGCAATAAAGCTTTGTGAATGTATCTCCAGCCAAACATCTTATTTTCTTGGGCCTTCTTTCATGCTACTTGTCATCCTCCATTGGAGACTTGACCCATGTCTTAAACTGAGATTATATCATCATTGAACAAAAGAAACATGTTTCATCTTGGCCACAGTAGTTCATTCTCTCTCCAGTCCAATTGGCCTGTGAGTGAAGATGCCATTTGGCTGGTTTGTGTTCCTTGATTTCTATGACCCAACTTCAGAGGGAATAGCTGCCATTAAAAGGATCAGTCTTTTAATGATGGGGGGGGGGAGGGAAAAGCAGGTGCTGACCAGGAGAGAGAAGAAGCCTTGTTTCCTGTGCCCAAAGACCAGCAACTTCTAAGCAACAGCAGGTGCAAAGGAGGTTTCAGATGAACCTGTCGTAGGTGCCCTTGTTGAGGCTCTAGTCTTCTCCCCCTCTCCCTCAGGACTCCTTATGCCCGGTGATATAACTTGGCCAGGCATGGGAAAACACTCAATGTTGATTCTTCTTGACCCTGTTATGCTGTAAGATACTTCTCCAACAATGAGTTTACTCCGGGGCATTGGTTTCAGCCTGACATGGATTTGGGTACTTTGTATCCCTACGCTAGACCAACCCTGGTGAACTGGAAGAATTTGGACAAGGGGAGTATATGGTGGATGATTGAACCTGAGTGTGATCTCTGCCCACCTAGCCCGCCTAAGCCACCTCTTAGAGTCCAGTCCTGCATTTGAGCGTTGCTTGGTTTGGGGCAGGGTGCACCAGCCATGAAATATACTGGTTACTGTGTCCATAGTAAATATCCCAGGAAAAAATTTAAGGGACAGGGCGGTGTTGAGGGGAAGGGAAAGGGTGGTAGTCCTAGTTGCCTGGGCCCCTCAGTGTGTAGCAATCTTTATCAGGAACTTAATTACTCTGCCTGTAGGATTTGGACTACATTTGATGGCAGTTTATCTGGAAGTTCTGAAGACAGCTGCCTGGGATCCAGGTTTATTCAAAGCAAACAGTCATTCGCAACTGGAAGATACTTCTAAGATAGTATCTGTCCCCCATATTCTTGTCCTAGTTACACAAACCTTTTGATAGGTGGGGGACTGTAGTTTACATAGCTAACCAAGAAACTCAGGTTAGCAGCTTAAACTGCCCCCTTATGCTGTACTGTTACCCTGGGGAGGGAAGTAGCGAGTAACGCCTAGTGAGAAGGTCAGAGCACGTCTTGCCAGTCTGGTCACATCAGCTCAAGGCCCAGGCCTCTAGATCCTGTATAAAGAACTCTTCCTGGCTGGCCAGGACTTCATTGTTGAAGGTGGCACAGGGACGGCTGCCCCCGTGGTTCAGGTCCCCATCCAACCACAGCCCAAACTGGCCGCTGGAGACAAAAAGAAACCGGGATGTCAGGAATGCTGGTTCTCATCACCAAACCACATTTGGGTTAGAGACTTCAGATTGACAATCAGGGCCATCCCCACCAAAGCCTTGAACCGGTTGAAAATTTGTTTTTAGGGCTCTGAACCTCCCTTGTCTGTACCCTTTCTCTTTTTCTGCCAGCCAGCTAGCTGCCATTCCAGAAGTCATGCACCCATCAGATACAGCTGCGTCATGTGCAATTTAGTAATTGAACAGCTACCCTACAGGATGTGTTTGCAGTGTTCAATTTTTTAAAATAAATTTTTTATTGATATATTTTGTTTTTACATCACCTACATTTCTCAAATGTTTGTCCGCCCTCTCCCTCCCAGAGAGCCATCCCTTATTTTAAAAAATATATAGGGAAAAAAACAGTTCAGCAAAACTGATCAACAGGTCAAAAAAGTCTGACATAATCTAGTGTTCCTTACTCAGACCCCCACCTCTATTTGCAACATTTTAAAAGGCAATGCTTAACTCTGCAAAGGAATGACCCTGCAATAGCTGTGTCTTCAGCTGTCAATGATAAAGAGATAGTAGGAGGGCTATTTGAGAAGGCGGTTTCTGTCACCCTTTACATCCTGACTATTTAGTCAAATTGGTCTTGCCTGTGTCTAGGGTGAGGTCTCGGCTCCTTTGGTGGGTGTTACCCTCTTCCTAAAGAAGGAGGTCACTTAGGTCAGCCTTTATGCCTGCCATGTGGTGCTAATGTTTGCCCTACCAGGGAAGGGGGAAGGACCGAACATATTAAACTGTTCTGTTATTAGCACCTTGTAGGAATGGTTTTATCGCCAACTCTGTACATTGCTAATTTTGGGCAACCCTCTGTGGCACGGATCTGTAGATTTGACCAAAGAAAGAGGCTTTAAGGAGGAGGGAGAGTCCCAGCTGCTGTGTCCCTTAAAAGAGGCAGGGAATGAGAACACGACACCTCTGAATCCCTGGAAGGCTTATAGAACGCATACCTGCCACTCCCCATTACCAGCAAGTCCAGGTCTCCTTTCACAAAGAATGTATTACTTCCTGTCCACTTAAATACCTGCAACAGAAGAAAAAATTTTTTAGTGATATGGACCTGAGCATCTAGCAGTACTGCTGGTGACCGCTCGATGGCAGAGTTGGAAGGAAAGCTTTTGCCTATGTCCAAAATTTCTCTGGGTTCAGAACTCTTTCAAGTAATTTTTCTCCATTCCCTGGTCCCAGCTAAGAGAAAGTCGTGTGGAGAGAGGAGTGTAGGGTGTGGTGGGAAAAGCTTGAGGATCATGAAACCTGCACTTAAATCCCAGGTCTGTCATTTGCCAGCTGTGTGATGTTGAATTGGTCATTTCCTTCTCTGAGACTCAGTGTTCTCATCTTAAAAATGAGGATGATAATCTCTCTCCTGCCTATCTCACAGCATTTTTGCCAAGATTAAAAGAGAGCAAAGGTGTGCAAGAGGTGTTTGTTTGTTTGTTTGTTTTTGTTTTGTTTTTAAGGGCTAGACTATTATAGAAGTGGCTAAGTGGCACAAGGATAGAGTTCCAGACTTAGAGTCAGAAGATTCCTCTTCCTGAGTTCAAATCCAGCCTCAGACACTTAGTACCTGTGTGACCCTGGGCAAGTCACTTAAACCCCATTTGCCTCAGTTTCTTCATCTGTAAAATGAGCTGGAGAAGGAAATAGCAAGCCACTCTAGTACCCTTGCCAAGAAAAACCTCCAAAAGGGGTTGAGAAGAGTCGGACACAACTGAAAAATGACTAAACCACAAACAATAGCTAGTTTTACTGTAACATGGAGTTAACAAAAGGGTGTGGTTTGAAATAACCTGGAAATCTAGGTGGGAGCCACATTGTGAAAAGCCTTAAATGACAAGCTAAGGAAACTGTATTTCAACCCTAGGTGCAATGGGAAACCACAGAAGGTTTCTTTTGTTTTTTAAGCAAGGAGTGTCCTACTATCAGACCTTAGCAAGGTTATTTTGACAATAATAAGCATAATCATAGCCAGCATTTATAAGGCATTTTAAGGTGTGCAAAGCCAAATGTTATCTTTTTAGCTTTACAACAACCTTGGGAAGTAGGAAGTATTTTCTCTGTTTTACAGACGAAGAAACAGAGGCAGACAAAAGTCAAGTGACTTGCTCAGGGTCACACAGCTAGTGTCTGAAGCAGGATCTGAACTCAGGTCTTCCTGGCTCCAGGCCTAGCACTCTATATGCTTCACATTCTTCTAAAGTGCTTTTCAGCTCTAAATCTATGACCCCACGCCTCGATCCCAGGATGAAGAAAATAAGAAGTATTTGAAGGAAGATCAGGATGAAGATCTGCAGGAGGTTACTGCAATAATGATTTTGTGCCAGTGAGAACTTTCACTAGGGAAGATATATTTCAGAAGTTGATTCTAGATTTCTTGATGACTTGAGTGCAGGGCTCATTTTTACCTTAGCTAGGAGGGTTGGGAGTGGGGTAGGGGTGTGGGTTGGCACAAGAGATAGAGATATAGGGGCTGCTAGGTGGCGCAGTGGATAGAGCTCCGGCCTTGGCGTTGGGAGGACCTTAGCTCAAGTCCAGGCCTCAGACTCTTGACACTTATTAGCTGTGTGACCCTGGGTAAGTCACTTGACCCTGATTGCCCCACACAAAAAAAGATAGAGATATAAAAATTACTTGCGAAGACACACATAAGCCAAGACAAAAACCCAGTCTTGTATAACAAACTGCTTCTCAGTATTGCTAGGTTCAAGCATCTGTGTCTGACTTTCCATGACTCCATTTGGGGTTTTTCTTGGCAAAGGTACTAGTGTTTGCCATTTCCTTCTCCATCTGATTTTATAGATGAGGAAAACATGGTTAAGTGACTTGTCCAGAGTCACACAGCTAGTGTCTGAGACCAGATTTGAACTCGGGAAGATGAGTGTTCCCAACTCCAGGCCC